GGTTATGTAAATTGGTGGGTGGGTGGGTGGATAGAAGGTTGAATGGGTAGTGGTTGGATGGATGGATGGACGGATGGATAAATGGGAGGATGAATAGATGGGTAGATGGAAGGTTGAATGGGTGGTGGATGGATGGGTGGATTAGTAGGTAGGTGGATGGGTAGATGGATGGATAAATGGGAGGGTGGATGGATGGGTGGGTAGGTAGTGGATGGATGTGTAGATGGATGGGTAGGTGGGTGGATAGAAGGTTGGATGGGTGATAGATGGAGGGGTGGACAGACTGGCAGCTCCTGTTGCTTTACAAAGAAGGACAAGGTTGATGTTCTCCTTCTCCTTATTTTTTTCTAGCTTTATGTCCTCAGTCAAGGACAATGTGTGTACCGGGGAAAAGTCTCTAATCTTGTGCCATACTTGAGGGATTTAGGTCTGAACTGCCCAACCTATCACAACCCAGCTGATTTTGGTAAGTAGAACCTTGACAAAGGGGCTCTTTTCCACTCTTGGTGAGTTTCTGCTTTTACCCAACACCCCCAAATCTGGAATTCCTTGAATATTGCATATGTGACTCCAGTGCCATCCTGTGGTGGAGCTTTTAAAAGCAGATTAGAGATTTTCCATCCTTCAGAGAAGATATCTAGGACCTAGAACAAGGATGCTGTTGTTTGGAGCTGTTTTTCCTAACGCTTTGTGTGTTAGGTTTCTGATTTAAAGGAAGGTATTTCTGAAAATAAATAACCTTTAAAAATAAAAAATGACCCTTTCACATTGATAACTGAGTCATTAAAATGCGGATTTAAGTTTCCACCAAACATAACAAAAAAGGTGATGCTCAGAGCCTGGAGACTAAGTTGATGGTCTGAGCTCCTCCTCTTGGATTGGCTGTCTCAGGGTTGGCAGCCAAGCATACTGTGTCTGGGGCCCTGAGATGTAGGAGCCCACCCCAGGGCTCGTTTTGCCCTGGCGCGGTCCCCAGGCCCCTCCCCTGGCCATGCCCTCCAGGGTGTCGATGTTGTTGCTGCTGGCTATCCCTTTTCCCCATCCACTGGGGCTCTGGGCCCAGCACCCCTTCTCCACACCGTGCCCCATACATCCGTCAGCAAGCTGCACAACCTCTCCAGGCTATGTCTCCAAAACCAAGTCTCCTCCACCAGGCTCTGCAAAGCTAGGGAGACTGGCAACCCTCCTGCCTTCTCTTTCTCTCAAGCTTCATATTCACTAAGCTGCCAAGTGCTTGAGACACCCCCACCCAGTCCCGTTCCTCCACCTCAGCCTCTTGCTGGGGTCCAGTCTCTGCCAGCACATTCTGCCTGCCCATGGCTGCTGCAAGGACGCCCCACAAGCTGGGTGGTCTAAATCGGCAGAAATTCATCCTCTCACGGTCCTGGGGCTGGAAGTCAAGGTGTGGGCTGGGCTGTGCCGCCTCGAAGGGCTCTAGGGGAGGGTCCTTCCTGCTCCTCCAGTTCCTGGGGGCTCCAGTGTTCCTGGGCTGGTGGCTGGGCCACCCCAGTCTCTGCCCATGTCCTCACATGGCTTTTTTCTCTCTGTCTCTGGGTGTCCTCTCCTCCTCTGGTAAAGACAACACTCACAGGACTCAGGGCCCACCCTAAATCCAGGACAGTTTCATCTCAAGACCCATAATAAATTAAACCTGCAAAGAGTGTTTTCCAAATAAAGCCACATTCTGAGGTTCTAGGTGGATATGAATGGGGGGAGGGGATCAGCCTTTCTCATCTATGTTTTCCCCCCAAACACCTGGCCACAGCACTGCCGGATTCCACATCTCTCCAACATCATCCCCCAAATTGTGTTCCATGAGACACCGTTCCCAGGCCAGGCTCCATCTTCTGAGAAGTGGGTCATGATGGGGGCGGGGCACAGAGTGGACAGGAAGGGGCCCAGGGGGAGGAGGGCCTCATCTAAAGAGAGGCTTTGGCATGTCGCAAAGGCAGTGGGTAGAGCCAATGATTGTCACACACTCGTTCCCCAGAGAGAGAGGCAGGTGGAAACAGGGGCCACAAAGCAGGGGTGGAGTGGGGAGGTCCAGGGCCTGCAAAAAGGAGAGGACCTAGGGCATAGGAAACCGGGCACATGGGACTGTGGGAAGGTCTCAGGAAGGGGGCTTCTGCTGTTCCCTCTGTGTCCCCAGAGAGAGGGCAGGAGGGGAGGGGAGAGGGGCCATTCGGAGCACAGTAGAGCAGGGTGGGCATGAGTGAGCAGGTGGGCCGGCCACGCTGGGCGTGTGTGTCGTCACTGACGATGACTTTCTCCTGTGGCAACACGTGCTGGTTTATGACAGAATCGAGGAGGGCTTGGCTGCCCTGGGTCAGGCTCAGCAGAGCAGACAGCTGCTGTGCCAGAGGGCAGAGCCCAAATACTGAGGCCGGGGACTCTGGGCTTCAGCACGAATGTCAGTGAGGGGAGGGGCCGTGGGAAGGAGGCGTGGGAGACCGCAGGTTGGGGGAGGGGAGGAGAGGCAGTCGTGTGGGGTGTGGAACCAGGGGCCACAGAGAGGCCGTGGGATCCAGAGACGGGGTCAGCAGAGGACACACTCCCTGGGGATCAGGAGGTGGGCTGAGGGTCCCAAGCTGGTGGTGGCAGCGGGCCGCTCTCCATGGTCCTGAAACACTGTCCCTGCAGCCATCCCCGCTGAGCCCACAGGGACACGCAAGCCCCCTCCTGCTCATCCCTTGGCTCCAATCCTGGGGCTTGGATGCCCGAGGCAGGCGTTCAGTCACATCAGTGGGTGAATAAGTTCACAGACGCACGAGCTCGTTCCCTCTGACTCCCTGGTATCACCATCTGAATTCTCATTTCTAGGGTCCTGACGTCATCCCTGGCCTTGCTGGGGGTTTCAGAGCTGACGAAATGTGGGTTGAGGAATGGTCTCATCCTATCACACAGCACCCCTATAATCGGTTAAAAGAACTCCCGCGATGCTCATGGCCATGTTGTTGCAAAACGACCAAGGCCTGGGTTCACATTAGCCACAGGGGGGCTCCTCCGCAGGGGGGTGGCGGGTAGCCGGGGGTGGGGGTGCTGGGACTGACCCGTGTGTGTCTCCGCAGTCATGGAGGTCGCGTCCGGCGAGTACGGTGATCAGAACGGCCGCCTGGTGAGAGCCGTCCGGGAGGGCATGTGTGACTCTGACCACAGGAGAGAGCCTGGGGGGGATGCCGAGGTGAACCCTTTTCTTTGGCACCGGCCCTCTGAAGAGGTAAAGCAGGCAAAACGATTGAAGGGGTCTAGAAAGGTAATGCAAAGCCCCGGCCCCCGCGGGACGGCTGCGCCTTGCACCCTGCCGCCTGGGGGCTCTCGCTCGGCCGCGGGGGGCTGCGTGCGGTGCTGGCAGCTCACGGCCCCCCTTCCCATGTGCGCCCGCAGGACTCCGCCTCCATGGAGGGCTGCCACAGCTTCTCGGCCAGCTGCCTCACGCAGTTCTGCATCCTCTTCAGACGGACTTTCCTCAGTATCATGAGGGACTCGGTGAGGCTGTGGGCCAGCGTTCTCTCGGGGCTGAGGGAGGCGCAGGGGGGTTTTCCGGTGTGGTCATCCTGGCTGAGCTGTCGGGCTGTTTCCCTGCCTTCGCACCGGTCAGCTTTCCGTCCACGGTGCTGCTGTGACAACACCCCCGGGGGCTCTGACAGTGAATTCAGGTCACGCTGGTGTCCTGTGTTGATGGCAGCGGCTGGTGGCCCTGCCCCCCATGTCTCATCCTGGGACCCAGAATGGAGACACGGCTCCTCTTCTGGAACATGGCAAAGGGCAGCCTGTCGGAGTTCCCGCTGGGGGCGGCAAACCCTCTCGTGCTCACTTGCCTCTGGTTGGGCCCGGGTGGGAGTGTGCTCCTGTCTCCAGGAGGCCCTGTGGGCACAGGGCGCTGGCAGGAGCGGGGGCGAGCGACCAGCAGCCGTGATCCCATCCACCTATCTTAGTGGACAACCTGGCAGGCTCCCTGCCGGGGAGGGCTCAGTGCCCAGCGGGGCCTTTGGGAACTGCGTTGAACACTGGGGGGCTTGTAGCTGCCCAGGCCAGAGCACTCCAAGGAGGGCCTCGGGTGTGTCCATTCTCTGCCCCCCAGCACTGTTTCACCTGTCCCCTCCTCTGAAGGCAGGCCAGGCAGCCCACCCTTCCTGCTTTTCGTGAAGGGGGTTTAACAGAGAATAGCAATTGCTTCTGGGGTGTGTGTGTCTGTGTGTGTGTGTGTGAGTGTGTGAGTTGGTTTAGGGTCGGGGCTTGCTTTTCTAGAGGAGAAATCAGGTGCCAGTGCCTTCCTCAGTCTCTGCCCGACCCCCGCGCACTCAGCGAGAACCGTGTCTGCCCCCAGGTCCTGACACACCTGCGGATCACATCTCACATTGGAATCGGCCTCCTCATCGGCCTGCTGTACCTGGGGATTGGGAACGAGGCCAAGAAGGTCCTGAGTAACTCCGGCTTCCTCTTCTTCTCCATGCTATTCCTCATGTTCGCAGCCCTCATGCCCACCGTTCTCACGTGTGAGTGTTGGACCCTACGCCCACCCAGCACTGGGGGACCCCGGTCAAGGCTCGGCCCATAGTTGAGTTTTCTGACACAGAATATCTTGGTTTTTCGAAGTATCATTTTCTTTGTTGACAGGGATGATCATATTTTCTCTTAGACAACAAAATAGGTACCATGTTTAAGCCAAAGGAATTAATCACTAATGGAGAAACTATAACCACTGTGGAAGGCTGACCAAAGAGAGAGTCCCAAAGTGTTCTAATCAGGAACCCCTGAAATCTTACTCCTTAACTGTTACCCCATTCACTCATTAGGCAGCCTTCTGTGGCCAAAGTTTGTGAGTGAATAAGGCTATTTTATATGGATTTCCACACAGTTCCAGATTATTTGCCAAGCACGCTGCCCTTGCTCACTTGGGCTGACCATAAACTCCAGCATAAAATTTGCCCCAGTGTCGCCTCCCTAAATGGCCTGAATGCTCAGGACCAGCTTGGGGGTTCTTGCCCGTGGGAGGAATCACACTGCTTCACTGTCGGCTTAGCAGGAAATACTTGTGCCAATCACTACAATAATGCTCAGTGTCCGAGCAGATGTTCTCCGCTCTTCGATCGTCCCCCTGGTGACCCTTTGGGTTATAAACACGGTCACGGTTGGAAGTTTTCCCAGGCCGGTGCATGGGTCTGCAGGTCTGAGCCCCGCCTCCGAGGGCCGTGCAGGCCGATGCCCCTCGCCCTCTCCAGCTCCGCACATGCGCGCCTGCGGGGAGTCCCGGCTCGCAGGCCGGGTGGGCCTGACCCCTTTGCCCTCCGTCTGTCTCCTAGTTCCCCTGGAGATGGGAGTATTTCTTCGGGAACACCTGAACTACTGGTACAGCCTGAAGGCCTACTACCTAGCCAAGACCATGGCCGACGTGCCTTTCCAGGTGTGGTAGCGGAGGGCGCGCTCCCCGCACTCCCTGCGGAGGGGGACGCCGTGTCCGGGGGTGCTGACCGGCCATGTGTTGCAGATCATGTTCCCCGTGGCCTACTGTAGCATCGTGTACTGGATGACCTCGCAGCCGTCCGACGCCGTGAGGTTCGTGCTGTTCGCCGCGCTGGGCACCATGACGTCGCTGGTGGCGCAGTCCCTGGGTCTGCTCATTGGAGCCGCCTCCACGTCCCTGCAGGTACCAGCGGAGGCGGGGTGGGGGGCGGGCCAGTGTGGCTGGGGCCCCTCCCCCCCAAAACGCAGCCGTCTCATTCTGCCCTGACCTCTCAGACCAGCTTCCGCAGGTGGACGCCCAGGGAAGGAACCGCCGAGGCCGGTCAGGGTTGGCGCGCTGATCGCAGCAGGGGCCCGTAGGTGGCCTCGGTGCCTGCCAGGCGCTGCTCCCGGTCCTTTCCTCGTCCTAGCTCACTGCGCCTCAGACACCCCACGAGCTAGGGTGGTGCCATTCCCATCTCACATTGGGGGAGACTGAGGCCCAGAAAGGGAACATGGTCTGGTCAGGGGCTGCCCCTGGCTCCGAGTCCAAGCTTTCAACGCCTATGTTCCGTTACCTCTGGGGGATCCGCTCCGCTGTCCCTTGGACCCCCGAGGGCAGCCTGTGCCCCTCCCCTGCCCCGGGGCTTCACGTGCCCCCAACCTGCCCAAGCCCGCACTGTGGCGGTTTCAGCGTGCCCTGGGCAGCTCTGTCCCCCAAAACAAAGCCACAGTCTGGTGAACCGGATGCCCGCCAGGCCTTCCAGCACACGCCCTTCGCACCGCTGCATGTGATGGACCCTCCGTTCCCGTCTTCGGAGCCCCCCACCACTTATTGATGGCTTAGCCTCCAGGAGGTCCCCTCCTCCGGGGACAGGCATAGCGATGTGTGCATGGGACAGCCGTGGAGAGCGCTTGGCCCACCAGCCGCCCAGAGGGCCTGGGAATGGTGCTCACTGCCCCTTCCTCCCTGGGGCACAGCGGCAGCACCCGGCTCTCTGCTCCCCCAGCTGCTGTGCCACGGCCTCGTCATCATTCACCTTGGCGTCTGCCCCCTGCGGGAGGCTCTCTCTCTTCACCCACGCCTGTCGGGGCCCTCTGCTCTCTGAGCACGATGTCCCAGCCCCTCCCTGTGTGGAGACAGGCTGCAGGCTGGAAGAGAGGGGCTGCTCGGTGCTGTCCTGGCCTTCGGTGACCAGCCTGGAGCGCTGGCCCTTTCCCAGTTGCTGTGACTCTCCCCATACATGTGGGATATGGCCTCCCAGGGACATCTGAGGAAACCGGGTGGGAGTCCCACCTGCTGCCCCTGAGCACGTCCCTGTGTGTCTCCCCAGGTGGCGACCTTTGTGGGACCTGTGACGGCCATCCCTGTCCTCCTCTTCTCGGGGTTCTTTGTCAGCTTCGACACGATCCCAGCTTACCTGCAGTGGATGTCCTACATCTCCTACGTCAGGTAGCGTGTGTGGGGTCTCGGATCACTCGGGAGCTCTATGTGGACAGAGGGAAGGGACAAAAGCCACTTCCTAGCCCCCAGCTAAAGGCCAGCATCATGCTTGCCCCATGAATTTGAGACTGTTGGTGCCTTTCATTTTCTCTTAAGTCTGGTGTGTCCGCACCATCTCTCACACACACACACACACATGCACACACACAAGAATTAAATAAATACTAGCAGTTTGTGCCTTGAAGAAGCTGTGGTGGACCCCGTGTTCTGCCCATTTCAGAGAGCTGCTGTGGGGGGCGTGTTTCCATCTCACAGCCCTCGTCCCTCTCTGGAATGAACAGCACTCAAACGAGGTTCTGACTGCGTAAATCCCGTGGAAACCACGTCCTGTTTTAAACATCCTAATGTCTTTGAACAAGAGTGTCCTGGCCCCTGGGTGCCGCAGTGCTTGGGCCTGGTCCTCTCTGCTCTGGGTCCTGGCACGTCGGCTTTACCGGGCAGTGCCCATCTCCAGAGCTCTTCTCCCCCAGCTCCAGCGATCCCATGTGACACACAAGATCCAAAGTTGGGAACAAGCTTTCTTTCTCTAGAATATCAGTTCAGACCCAGATATATTGTTCAGGAAAACAAAATCAAAACAAAGTGCCCGTACAGAGTTTCAGCAATCTGTGTGTGTTCAACGCCAAGAAATCAGAAACCCATGTCTTTCTTCTCAAAATTGGTGTTTTTGTTTGGACACTTTGGGCTGGACTGGAATGAGAGATGGCACGAGAGGGTTTAACTGAAACGCTCTCTAGTCCTTGGAAGGCTATTAGATCCTTTATTATATCGAACTGTGAAAAAGTTTGTCGTCTCAGGCGATCAAAGAGCCTTCAAGTTGGTTTCCTCCATTGAACAAGTAGCTCCTACCCATTCTGTTTGGTTTTGCGGGCGGAGGCTCCGGAGGAGACAGAAATCGGGCAAACCTCATCCAAGCCGGGTGTGTTTGTCTTGGGAGGCTGCTGCAAGGCTGGGAAGCAGTCGTGTGAAGAGGGGTCTCGGGGACAGCGCGTGGCCACGTGTGGATCACGGACGGCGTGGGGGGTGCTGCTTCCCTCTGCAGATGGACGCAGGCGCGAGGGCGTGGGGTCCCCTGGCCGTGGGGAGGGCCTTGCTGACGGCCAGAGCCTTCCTCTGTAGGTACGGATTCGAGGGGGTCATCCTGTCCATCTACGGGCTGGACCGAGAGGACCTGCACTGCGGCATCGATGAGACGTGTCACTTCCAGAAGTCGGAGGCCATCCTGAGGGAGCTGGACGTAGAGGATGCCAAGCTCTACCTAGACTTCATCGTTCTGGGCATTTTCTTCATCTCCCTACGCCTCATCGCCTATTTCGTCCTGAGATACAAAATCCGGGCGGAGAGGTAAAACACCCGAGCTCCAGGAGACACGGACATAGGCATCGCGGCCCAGGGCCCCTTGCGGAGCCGCGGGGACCGCTGCCGCCCCCCAGCCCCCGGCGGTGCTGCCCGCGTCCGCGCCCGCGCCTCTCTCCATCTCCCTTTCCAACTTCATCCGGGAAGAAGGTGTAGAAAGGTGTCGTGTCCTCATGCAGAATTTCACCCCACGGAGACCAGGCACGCAGAAACCCGCAGCAGAGTAGCAGCCGGGAGGCCGGGGAGGAAGGACCCGCGCCAGGGGCAGCCCGGTCTCAGGACGGTCGCTGTCGTCCTACGGTTCTGCCGCCTCCTCCGGGGAGAAGTCAATTTCCAAGCCAAAAGCCAATAACTCTCATTCATTTTAAGAAACTGTATCTTTTTAGTACTTGTTAAAGGAAATTATTCAGGGTAAATAACACACTTTGCTTAGAGACACGAGGGGCTTAACTAAGGCACGGAGCTGGTCTCATTTTCAGGCAAAACTTGGGAAAGATGCAGGCGCGGTCCCCAGCAGGGAGAAGGCTCTGGGGCTGCACGTGTTCCAAAAAGTCGAACAGAAAGCTGGAGGGTGACATTGGCCAACCTTCCCAAAGTCTTTTCTCCCCCCTCACCCCGCCCCGTGCTGCTTATTTTAAGCAAAAATACATTGTTTATTTCTTCCTAACTTTCTGAACATCTTAATTTCGCCTAAAACGTGTCTAGAAGATGAGCCTTGTTGATTTCTTGCACACATGTCCCTCTCCTCTCGTGTCACGTCGACTACCTCCACGGGAGCTGGGAGAGCTAGGCAGGTGACAAAGCCAGGGTGGCCGGGGAGGGCCTCGGGGCGCCACAGGAAGGAGCCACCAGTGGCGGGGGGCGGTGCCCAGACCTCGCAGCCTCCAAGGCCTTACAAGCAACCGGCACAGTCTGCGTAGCCCAGGCTCCTGTGGCTTGTTCAGACGGTGCACCGGGTTGTGTGTGAGGCCACTTTCCGAGCCCAGTGTCTGTGACATCCCCGCCTTCTCGGTGCTGAGCCCCTGCTGATGTCACAGACCAGAAGCTCCTTCTTCCCAGGGACGAAGTCAGAGAACAAAATCCCTGTGGGGCAGGAGTGGCAGGCGTACCTGCGGGGTAACTTGCCTCTTGCTTGTGTCCTGATGCCGTGTGCGTGCCAGCTGTCAGAGGCAGTGCGACCCAGCAGGAGGTCAGAGGAGACCAAGGAGGGAAATGGAGTTGCCCGCACTTGGCATCTCCCTGCCCGGGGACGGGGGTCTCCCAGGGACAGCCTGTTTTCGTGGGTGCGCTCATGCCCTGTCTGAGCCTATCTCCTCCGCTATGAACAGTAGCACGGCTGTCACCCCTAAAGGGGTCTTTGACTCCCCAGTTCTGTTCCCAAAACTTCTGTTTCCCACTTTAAAGAGAATGGAAGGAGTCTCATTTTACTCACATACAGATTTGACATGCAAATGCTTAGCAACCCTTTTTAACCCTTCCGTCCTTTGTAGTAAACGCACTGAGCGTATTAAACTGTAACTTTGAGTTTCACTCTTCCGTACAAAAGTGGCATTGCCTTCCAGATTAGAGCACTTACCCAGGATCGAACTTAGGCTTTATAAAGAGTCCTCACTTAGTTTCGAGACAGATTTGCCCGCGAGACGTCACAGGGCGGAAGACCCACCTAGGAGCAGGCTGGTGAAATGGAGGGTGGGGAGGGCTGTGATCACACCTGGCCTCACAGCATGTGTGGTCAGGAGTAGAGACCTCTTTCCCGCTGTGGCCCAGCAAGGACGGGGCCAGCCTGGAGCCGCACTGCGGGGCTGAGCCCACCCCCACAGGCAGCTCACATCATGTGCCCTGAACCCACCCCGCCGTTTCTCAGCCAATTGGGAAAGCGACAGTGAGATCCCTCGAGATTGAAAATCTGGTTTCCAAGTCTACCTGCGCCCTCGGAAGGAATCCCAAAAAACCCAGTCTCCCTGGGAGTTCATGCTCCCACGTTTCAATTTTCCATTGTTAATAAATTACCTTCATCCCTTTAATAGATGAGGAACCGAGTGAGGGGCCGATCTTGGGGGACGTGAGGGCTGTCAGCAGAGGAGACGGAGACGCAGACTCAAAGTAATACGGTGATTTTTGGAGGGAGGGAGCAGCCAGGCCAGAGGCTCTGCGTAGGAAGCCCCGGGACGCTGCCCGGCCCTCTCTACGGGCAGCGCCCCTGCTGGCAGTGATGCAAAGGGTGTGGTTTGCACTTCCCAGCCCTCCCAGAAAACATTTATTCCAATGACCAAAGATAATGTCCAAACAACTTACTGATTTGTTTTTCTAAATCATTGTGGTTAAGAGGTAGGTGACCGTGTCTTTCATACATTGGGACTGGAAGCAGGCCAGCTTGCCGGAGTTCGTTTCCAAACGGAATTTCTGAATGTACTGCCCCAACCCTGCATCTCGGACCTTCATTTGGAAGGAAGAACCAAATCTTGTCCAAAAGATGTGTAGCCTCTCTGTGTGTGTAAGGAGAGGCGAAAGTAGAAGTCCAAAGAACGTCGCTTTTAAGTGACATTTGTCAGGAGAGAAGGGGGAGAAGCTCGGATACTGCCCACTGCCACTGCTCCTGCTCACTGCTTCTGCTGCTGCTCCTGCACCTGCTCCTGCTCCTGCACCTGGTCCTCCTCCTGCTTCTGCTCCAGCACCTGCGCCGGCTCCTGCACCTGCTTCTGCTCCTGCTCCTGCACCTGCTTCTCCTCCTGCTCCTGCTCCTGCACCTGCTCCTGCACCTGCACTGCTCCTGCTCCTGCACCTGGTCCTCCTCCTGCACCTGGTCCTCCTCCTGCTCCTGGTCCTCCTCCTGCACCTGCTCCTGTTCCTGCTCCTGCTCTTGCACCTGCTCCAGCACCTGTGCCTGCTCCAGCACCTGTGCCTGCACCTGCACCTGTGCCTGCTCCTGCTCCTGTGCCTGTTCCTGCTCCTGTGCCTGCTCCTGCTCCTGTGCCTGCTCCAGCACCTGTGCCTGCTCCTGCTCCTGTGCCTGCTCCTGCTCCTGTGCCTGCTCCAGCACCTGTGCCTGCTCCTGCTCCTGCCTGCTCCAGCACCTGTGCCTGCTCCTGCTCCTGTGCCTGCTCCTGCTCCTGTGCCTGCTCCAGCACCTGTGCCTGCTCCTGCTCCTGTGCCTGCTCCTGCTCCTGTGACTGCTCCTGCTCCTGTGCCTGCTCCTGCTCCTGTGCCTGCTCCAGCACCTGTGCCTGCTCCTGCTCCAAGCACCTGCTCCTGCTTCTGCACCTGCACCTGCTCCTCCTCCAGCACCTGTTCCTGCTCCTGCTCTTGCACCTGCTCCTCTTCCAGCACCTGCACCTGCTCCTGCACCTGCTCCTGTTCCTGCTCCTGCTCCTGTTCTTGCTCCTATTCCTGCACCTGATCCAGTTCCTGCACCTGCCCCTGCTCCTGCTCCAGCTGCAGGCCTGGGCTCTGGCGCCAGCCCCCTTGGGAGCCTTCCACCTGCGCCCACATTCAGAGCACTTTGTGCCTCCCTTGCTCCTGCCCTCGCTGACTGTCAGCCAGAGAGATCAGTCCTTGAGAAGCCCTGCGTGGGTGCCGTGGGGGGAAACCCATGTAAACATTCACAGAAAAGATGCTGGAGTCTGCCGCAGTCATCGTGGGTGAAATGGAACCTAAGTTTCCAGATAGCAGCCCATCCTAGAGACCCACAGAAATGCTGGGTTCCCACCCCGAGAAGGGCACTACCAGGAGCTCAAGGACAGGTGGAGTCCCCTTGGGTTTTGGGCAGAGAGAAGAAGAGGCTGAGCCCTGGTGTCCTGAGCATCTTTCCCTACCTGGGGGTCCCAGGCCCTGCACTGGGGGCCGCACAGGTCCTCTGTCCATCCTCTAACTCAGCAAACATGGCCATTGGCAGTCCTGACGAGCTTGGGTCTGTCCCAGGCACTGAGGGCTCAGGGGGAGGGGACCCAGATGTGGCCTGGCCACAGTGGCGAGTGTAGCAGGTAGGGTGGGGGGAGTGCGTTCCTTCTGCAGCTGCAGAGCATGGGGCTGGGGGAGGGTGGGCGAGGCCCCAGGTCCCACGCCAGGGAAGAGCGCAGTCGACATTCGAGCCACGGTCTGACCCCAGGACCTTCTGTTTTGTTTTGCCATATCGTCTCCTGTTTGTAATGCACAAATACACACGAAGATACTTGGTAAAGCGTGGGGGCGCAATGCTAGTTTAGTGGCGACTCGTGGACTTGCTGTCACCACACAGAAAGCTGAGGTGGGAGGGTGGCCCACGCCCCCGCCTGCCCCCCTACCGGCCTCGAGGCTGCGCTGACTCCTGCCTCGTGGAGAGCAGCCGTCCTCTGCCCTTGCCTGGTCCTGGCTTCTCAACACAGCACACTTGAGGACTAGGTCGGCCTAGAGAGGGCTGGTGTGTGTGTGTGTACATGCACACACGTGCAGGCTTGATCCAGGTTTGGGCTCCCATAGTATTATTCTGTAGTCTTTGCTTTGTCTCTAAACGCTCCATCATCCTTTACTCCCAGAAGGAAAGACAAAATCCCTCCCTGCCTGCCTGTGGCGCACATGGTGACCAGCGTAGTCAAACCCCACTGAGGCTTTCGTCCAACGCTGGGGAAAGTAGAATGTGACAAAGGGCGAAACCAAACCCCCAAGACGGGGAGGTGCACAGTGTTGAGACTATGAAGTTAGACACTTGAACAAAATAAAGACCGCTAATAAATATTTTATATAAAACTTTTTACTTGTGTTCAGTGTTAAATGCTTCAAGGTCAAAATGATTTGCTTAACTCTTACTGGGCAAAATGGGCCTTTAGTTTGCATTTTGAATATATTTGCTGTACGTCTAATGAGAGTTCCGCGTTATTACGTAGTGTCCTGGTCTGACACCCTCCGACTGTACAATCACTTTCTTTCTGGGACACCTTCCTGTGCTATGAGGGACTGTCTTCAAGGTTTATGCTTTCCCCCTCCCCACCCGCTCCCTCCTGCCTTGTTAATGTTGGTCACAACCTTGGAAATTGCCAAGACCCCCATGTGCTGAGGCCGGAGCCTTCCCTCCCTGTCCCTTCCTGTCCCTCCTGCCTTAGAGGGGGCTCAGGGGACACGGGCACTGGCAGTGACTCCTCAGAGGGATGGGACACCCCTCGCTCATTGTTCTCATGCTCCTGGAAACCCTCTTCTCTGGCCTGGTCTCTGCAGAGATGGCTGCGATAGGGAAAACGTGTCCTCCTGAGGTTGGGCTCCCAGAGTGGACACGAGCAGGACCTCGAAGGATCCTGGTGGTATGAGCTGTCTCAGCACCGTGGACCCAGGACTTCCAAGGACGTGGTGCTTGGGGCATGGCCTTCAAACTCGTCTGCAAAACTGGAGGGCATCCCACGTGCGGAACCCGCTCGTAATGGCGCCGTGTGCCCCCCAGCTCCCTCTGCTTCTCCTTCTGCACCTGCCCCTGCAGACCGGCCAGCTGGCCCGTGGCCCAGCTGCCATTCACGCCAGGGTCCTTCTGGGTCACTGTCCTTGATCTCTCATGTCAGGGAGATGCCTCTGGGATGATCGGCCTCTGCAGAGCCCGTACCCGGAGGCTCCTGGGGGCCAGCAGCAGCCAGAGCCGGGGACCAAACCCCAGTGCGCGTTAGCAAGCCCAGCTCAGCCTCTTGCTAACACCCAAGCCTCCGGGGCAGGAAGGCGGGTGAAGGTGGCCCTCAAACCCTCTGCTGGGGTAGCGGGTCTCCCACAACCACTGCACCTTCTTCCCGTTCCTTTTCCTCGTCTTTGTACAAACAGAAGGGTTTAGCCTTAGCCCAATTTTGTATGTTACCTCTGAACACGCCAACTTGGAATCATTCCTCCAACAGACGCTTCTGTGGCCTCATTACGAGCGCACAGAGGCCCACTGAGGAAGACCACTCCGCATTTTTATAGAGCTGGTCTGTATCCATTGTGCTCAGAGCCCCTAATGCCTCCCAAAATAGTCCCCGGGCATCCAAAAGGAGAAAACGGTGGTGCAGCCTAGGTACGACAGAACGAAGGATTGCCCTGGGTGAGGGCACAGTGTAGGGGCTTTCCGGGGCATTAAGACCATTGTGAAACTGAAGAGGAGGGAGCAGGGGCCTAAAAGTGTCCGTGTTTGATCACAAGCCCGGGGTCGGCGGGGAGCTCGATGGCTGTGTCTGGGCTCCCATTTCTGAGGCTGCAGGGAAGGGGAGGCAGAGCCCGCCTGGGGACCCTTCCACAGCTGGAGGGCTGGGTTTACCCGGATCTGCCTCACCTTCCCGGGAGACACCCCAAGACCCCACGACCACCAGGCTCGCAGCCCAAGCCGAGGACACAGCCACAGGCACATGAGCGTTTCTCCCTAGGCTCGTGGTTTCAGAGCTGGTCTTCCAGCCCCCATGCAGGAATCAAATTTGGGGAACAGCATGTGCCCCAAGCCACATCAATAAGAAGGAGCAAAACCCAAAATTACTACATTCAGCTCAGATTTTCCCAGCAGAGCAGCTCCTCTCTCTCCCTCTGGGAGCATCTGCGTAAATGGAAGAGGGAATCCCGCTGATCGCCTTTGGGTGCCTTTGGCCTACACTTTCCACGTGTATGTCAACGTGGCCCCGGTTTTGCGCACGGTTAAATGGTTTTCCCTTCCATTCACCATAAGCCTCCTGCCGGGAGCTCTGCACGCGGGAGCCGCTCCCACGTGCCGCAGGGCGGGGCGAGCGGGGTGAGATGCTGAGGCCCAGCGGGTGGGCGCCACGACCCTGGGCCTGGTGGTCGAGGCCCCCAGACCAGTTTCCCAGGAAGGAGGCTGTAGAAGGTCCTTGCTACCTAACCCCCACACAGGTGCACTGTTTACCTCCCACCTTCCCTGCCCAGAATGCTGGCCTGACAGCAGACCCTAGCCCAGCCATGAGATAGTATGGCAGCTTCCAGAAAGAGTGCTTGCCCATTCTGCAGCACAGGTTACCCAGATGACCTCCCCTCCTGGGGGGCCTTGAAGATGCCCTCTCCTGCTGGGCAAATCCGTTAGGCCTGAGGGAGAGGTGAGTCGTGGGGAACACGGGGTCAAGGTTGAGAGCCCTATATTCACAGGTTCCTGGAGATCCCAGGCTGCAACCCGAGCTGGGTCTTAGTTTTCCTGGAAGTATTTTGATGGTCATGGTAGCTCTTTTGTTCTAGTTTTACATTTTTTTAAAAAATAGTTCTGTCATTATGTACCCCAAAGTTCTCTTTCCTGTGATGTTTGGAATACAGGCTGCCTGAGTTTAATCATAAATATCTCATTGTTTAAGTCCCCGGCCAATTAAAAATGATGGCCAGTGTCCTATCATCCAAATTACTAACAAAACAGACCACCAGAGCAAGGCAGGGGGCTTTACCGTTTTTAGAGTCTCGAGATCCCTGTAGATGCGGGTGAAATGTAATTTGTTGAAGAAGTTACTCTCTGTAACCAACCCCTTCCCCCTCATTTGTCTGTATCTCCCTTTGTAGACAGATGGGTCAGAGAGCCGCCTGGGGGGAGCTGTTGCCTTTTATTAGATGAACCGCTACTTCGTGTCATCCCTTGGTTATTCCAAAGCAAGAGTCAATGCAAGTAACATTTTCAATCAACGTGCAAACGCGGGCACACACCCGTGTATCTG